CATGTGTGTGCATGTCCAAAATCTCAACAGGAGAATGGAGAAGGGATTGCAGTGTGGCAATCCCACCCAGGGGATGATTTCTCACTTTCCCTATGTCTGTCTCTGTGTCATTCTGGTGAGCACATATGCCCTATGGCAAAATTCTAAAACAAACAAACAAAAAAATCGCCCATTATTTTTAACAAAAATGTTATGTGGTTTGATGGAATGATGGATGAATATATGATAAAACAAGCACAGTAAAATGCTAACGTGATCAGATAATCTAGGCACGAGAGTGTCCCTGCACAGTTGGAGCATGCTCATAGTAACATGGCAGGGACAAACGTAACTGCGGTTTGTCGCTGCATTTCATCCATTGCACTGTGACCTGATGGCTAGTCTATGTCCCCCTCAAGGCTCATAGGCCCTCCTCACACTTTCTTAGAGAATCTGAATTCTATGTACTGTGTTCTGGAGAATGTATTTTTAATTTAATTTTAAGTTGGTAATAACATGGACCAGCCTGTAGTCTGCTAATTAAGGTGGATGGATCCCACAGCGCTGACTGTGTGGCTCAAGTTCCAGACCTGGTGGCTTGAGAAACAACCAGACATATGTGCATGTGCGCCCCAAATTCCGAAAGGTGGGAGAAATGGAGAAGGGGTTGTGGTGTAATCATCCTCGTATGGGGGATGTTTTCTCACTTTCCCCCTCATTCTCTTGTCTTTTCATCTTTCTCTAGTGAGCACATGTGCCTTCAGCAAATTCAAAAAAGAACAATTACACAAACATCAATGCTTCACATGAGCTAACTCAGTCCTTGCAGACTGTACTAGTCTAGGTTCTCCAGAGAAGCTCAGCCAGTAGAAAATACGCACACACAGAGGGAGAGAAATTTATTATAAGAAATTGCCTCATGATTATGAAGGTAGACACGCCCTAAGGTCTCCTGTCAATAAACTGGAGACCCAGGAGAGCTGATGTGTGCTGCCAGTCCAGGGGCTGCAGGCTGGAGGATCAAGAAGAGCTGAGGTTTCAGCTGCAGTCCAAAGGCACAGAAGGAAATGCATGTCCTACTTCAAAGGTAATCAGGTACAAGGAATCCCTCTTATTTAGGGAAAAGTCAGCCTTTTGTTCCTTTTTTTAAAAACAAATTATTTACTTAATTTTATTTATGTATTATTATTTTTTAATTTGACCAGAAAGAGAAAGAGGGAGATACAGAGAGAGAAAGAAAGAGAAAGTGAGAAAGCAAGCCTCCAGATCTGGGACTGAAACCATGGTTGGCCACGTGGGAGTCCAGCACCCCATCCACCATGCAACACCACCTGCCACTCCCAGCCTTTTGTACTATTCAGGCCTTCAACTGACTGGATGAGGTTCATCCACCTTAGGGAGGGTGATCTGCTTTACTCAATCTATAGATTAGAATGTTAAACTGATCCCCAAACACCCTCACAGTGCTGGGCCCGTATCCTGGTGGTTAACGGAGGATCCCACATGGGCTAACGTAGTTCAAATTCCAGCATTGGCAGTTTAAAAATCACACTGTGTGTGTGTGTGTGTGTGTACCCAAAAATCTTGACAGGATAGAGAAATGGAGGAGAAGGGATTATGGCATGACCTCAGTTACCCATTGGGGGTGCTTTATCTCTATCTCTCTCTGGTGGTCACACACACCCTCAAGCAATAACAAAAAGAGACAAATTGGCCAGAAGGTGGCGAGGTGGTTGGGGAACTGGACTTCGCAGGGCTGGTCACGGTTCAGGTCCTGGACCTGGCAGCTTGTTTTTTCGCTTTCTCTCTCTTTCTCTCTCTCTCTGGTGAGTACACATGCCTATAGCAATTGTTTGTTTGTTTGAAAGAGGTTTTTGCATGTGTGCTTGCCAGAGAGAGAGAGAGACAGAGGCAGTGAGAGGGAAAGTGAGAAATCATCCCGGGGCGGGGGGGGTGGGGTGGTGGTGACCATACCACAATTCCTTCTCCATTCTCCTCCCAGGATCTTGGGCATGTAGGCACACGCAGTGTGGTTTGTTGGTTTGTTTGTTTTTTGTTTTCTTTTTTTTGGAGAGGTTTTTTATATAGGGCATGTGCATTCGCCAAAAAGGCAGAGAGAGACAGAAAGATAGAAAGTGAGAAATCACCCCCCAGGGGGGACGGCCACACCGCAATCCCTTCTCCTCCATTCTCCTCTCAGGATCTTGGGCATGCACGCACACGCACCCGGAGTGAGTTTAAGTCACTGGGTCCAGGACGCGAACCGTGGTCAACTACATGGGAGTCCAGCGACATAGCCATTACGCTAACTGCTGGTCCCGAAATAATGTTTGTTACGAGTGAATGTTCTTAACCTTATTTTACAAGTGAGGAAACAAATGCTGTAAGATTGCCCAGGGTCACACAGCCAGCAAGTGGCAGAGCTGGGGACCCTTGGTCTTCCAAATGCCACCTCAGTGACATTTCTACCACCCACTCTCCCTAATTTACCAGGCCCAGTCTGTCACTGCCTTATTTCATTCCAGGTGACCCAGGGGTTGATTTCTTACTAAGCATTAGTCATATCTGAGCCGCTGGACCCGCTTTCAGTTCTAGACATAAGTGTCCAGTGCATTCTCTCTATTCTATGTGAAAGAATATCTTTTTGCTTGTTAATTTCAGAGAAGGAAGGCACTCACAGAAGGGAAGGTTTGAGAACACTCCCTGTACCTCTGAAAATGTCTGAAGGTTCAGGTGCATTCTGTTCCCTGTTAAAAAAAAAAAAAAGGTATTTTTTTAAGAATTATTTTATTTAACTTTATTTTTATTTTATTTATTTTAATTTGACCAGCAAGAGACAGTGTGTGTGTGTGTGTGTGTGTGTGTGTGTGACAGTGTGTGTGTGTGTGGGGGGAAGAGAGAGAAAGCGAGCCACGAGGTCTAGGACTTGAACTGCTGTCGACCATGTGGATGTCCAGTGCCCTTAACCACCACGCCACCTGCCGGCCCCCAGGTATCCTTCGTAAGGCAGAGGTAGTGGAAAGCGTAAGAGGCCATGTAAGGCACACAGACCCTGCTCCCTTGGACAAGTCCCTGTCTTTGAGCTTCAGTTTGCCAACTGTAAAATGGGCATTATCATGAGGGCTAACTAAGGAAACACAGCCCCAGGTTCTTGTCCCTCCACAGTGTATGTAAATGTTTAAAATGTGTCTCCCTCTTGTGTCCCCAATTCCTAAGACTGTGTCTGCCATGAATGTTTGTGGAAGAGATTACAATTGTGACAATAAGGGCTCACAGCTAAGCTGCAATAAGTGAATACACACACACACGCCTGCGTGTGCATGGGAAATGAAGAGGGAAGAGAGAAATCCCGAGAACTCTCTTGCGGATGTGAGGTCCTCCAGGAGCCATGGGGCAGGGGATGAGAGGGTGGGATGAGCACCGTTTGGCATCAGTAGCTCTGGGTTGAAAGCCAGTCTGACCTTTACCAGCTGAGATGATTACAGATGGCCTCTCTGGTGAATCTCCCTTACCTAGTGTGTCTTCTAAGCATCAAGTGTTTCTGGAAAGATCCCTGAGAAAGATTCTCTCCTTGTCTAAGCTCTGCGTAGGCTACCCTGAACTTTTCAACCATGCATCAACTTTCGGACTTCCTGTTCCACTCAGCTTTCGGACTTCCAGTTCCACCCAGTGAATTGTTCAGTTTAGCAAGAACCCTGCTAAGTTGGTTTAACTAGAGGCCCCCATCCTCCAAACGCGATCACCATGAATGTCTGTCTCATCAGCTTGCTCATCTTCTGGCATCCCCTGGACCAGTCTGATCACCCCAGCCTGCTTTCGGCAACGATTCTGTTAGGTTGGCTTAGCCAGAATCGCCCCTTGCCCCTGATGTTTCCTCTCTTTTTTTTTTTTTTTTTTTTTGAGAGATATTTCCTATCTGGCGTGTGTGCTCACCAGAGAGAGAAAGAGATAGAGAGACAGAAAGTGAGAAACCCCCCCCCCAAAGGGGGATGGCCACGCCTCAATCCCCACTCCATTCTCCTGTTGGGATCTTGGGCACGCACGCACAGGCGCTCTGCATGAGTTTAAGCCACCAAGTCTGAGACTCGAACCGCAGTCGACTACATGGGAGTCCAGCGCCATAGCCATTTTGCCAACTGCTGGTCCTGGATGTTCCCTCTTAATAAGACTCTATCCATGCCCCCCATCTTGCGCTCACCACAAATTCCCACTCACTCAGGCTGAGTTCTAAGTAGAGCCCAGTCTCCCCAGCACTGCAGACCCACCGCAGTGGGCCTTTCCAAGATCGTGAAGCACCCCTTGAATAAAGTCTGTCTTTAACAAGTGTCACAGAATAATTTTTTTCTTTAATGTCTCATAGTAAAACACCTGTTACGTGAGAGATTGAGTCCCTCTGAGTCTCTGGGCTTCTTCCCCAGCGACTTGGGTTCCTGTGTTGGGGGGTGCTCCTATGAAAGCACCTGGAAACTCGGGGTGTGTGTGAGTGTGTGTGTGTGTGTATTTTACATGGGGGGTGGGTGGAGGTGCTGGGTTTGACCAGCATCAGCCCAGAAATGCAGAACTGTCCAGTGAAAGCCCCTTGAAAGGAAGGCCGCTTTCAAGGAAATAAAGGTGAATTCCAGGCATGAGCGTTCCACGGGGAAGGGGAGCTTCCCGGGCCCCCCCCTCTCCGCAGGTGCGCAGCCCGCGCCGCCCACCCCGGGCGGGACGAGGCGCGGGGAGCCACGCTCTCTAGGACCCGAGGAGGAAGGGCTGGAGGGAGACGGTGCCTCCAGCGGGAGCGGCGAGCGGCCGGCCGAGGGGGCTGGAAATGAAAGTAAAGCGCTCCGGAGCCGCATGGACGGAGCTGCCGGGGCGGCGGCGCCGGGAGCAGGATGCGGCCGCCCGTAATTAAATAGCATTTACTCTTATTATTACTAATAATAATAACGTAATCATACCTCTAGTCATAGCATACCATTTATCGGGCTCGGCGCAGGCCCTCGGGGAGCGCAGCCCGGCCGAGGTGAGTGTTTATAATAACGTAATCATACCTCTAGTCATAGCATACCATTTATCGGGCTCGGCGCAGGCCCTCGGGGAGCGCAGCCCGGCCGAGGTGAGTGTTTGGCGCGGCCCGAACCCCGCGGGCGCAAGGGGGGCCCGCTCCCCGGGCCGGGGGCGCGAGGGATCGTGGGCGGCGGGGCTGGGCCGGGCCGG